AAAAAAAAAAAAAAAATGGAATTTGGGGAACAGTACTTTCTTTTAATATATATATGTTGGGATGTATTTATTTATCTATTTATTCTTTAGGGTAGCAAAAGAACGAAGACTTGGTCGCAATATTACTTTATTTTATCTTCTCCAATTTATTCATTTATTTTATTTGGTAGCAATGTGGAGGACTCAGTCTAAAGGTTGAAGTAAGTGGGCTACTTAATTGTCAAATGAAAATGAAGTTTCTTTTTATCCTACAGAAAAAAAAAAAAAAATGCACTATATACGTCAGACAAATCACATCTTTTTCCTATATTTCTACTCAAAAGTTTAAAGTCCAAAATATTTTTTTTAAACGAAATATTATATACAGTTTTGCTATAGAACCATCGGATGACTCGGCTTATGGAGTCATCGACAATTATTCACGAATCGTGTATTGATACGTGTCTTACAATAAATATACTTTGGACATGTGTCATTACATGAAGTGATTGATGACTCCATAAGAAAATCATCCGATGATTTTTATAGAATTTTTGCTATCAGTTTTGTGAGATATACAGGTGTTGTAATATTAAACTTTAAAACAAAAATTGTAACTACATTGATCCTACTCAACCTTGAGAGGTGGGATAACATAATTTTTTCCTATACATGGTTAATTAATCTTTTAATTACAATTTACATTAGGCTGGTCTTATTTCCCAATATCAATTGTTATTATTATTTTTAATAAGCACTCATATTTCTTGAAGTTCTTTAATAAATAAATAAATAAATGAATTAGGTTGTGCTATTAATTATTCCACTTCATAAATATCATGCATTAAAGTCACCAAAAAGGCACGAGTAATTGACAAGCTTTTCAAACATGAGATTATCTTGAAGTAGCACATGGTTTGACTATTTTAAAAAGGGGATATAATTGAAGTTTTTTCCTCGAGGTATAACTGAAAAAGTAAATGAAAAAGTGAGACACCACCTATGGAAGGTAATCTTGATCTAATCAGCATTCTTCAATCAGAAATTATTTTATATACTGTATTTCTTTTGCATCATCTTTAATAGAACAAAAAGAATACATTTTTTTTTTTATAGTTCGAAAGGTCATATCAATTTTCGAGCGCCGCTGTACTCTACTACATTGTCCTTCCTCCGTGTGCGGTCGACGTTTCAACTTTGCCTACCAATAACAAGGGCTAAAAACTAGCTAAACCCAGCTCGAACTTAGGTTGTTCGAGCTCGAGCTTTTAATGAGTCGAGCCCAGCTCGACTTGTTAAGTAAACAAGCAAAAGTTAAGCTTTGGTTTGCCCAATCTCGAGTTTTAACGAGTCGAATTATAAAAAATTATATAAAAATTATCTTTTCGAATCGAGCTGAGCCCTCGTTAATGAAATGAGCTTTAAGCAAGCTTGAGCTCGACTCATTTACCAAACGAGCCGAGCCAAACTCAAGCCCCGACGAGTCGAACTGCACTAGAGTCTTAACGAGCCGACCCGAACTCATGAGCGATTCTTTTCGCTTAACAGCTCTATCGACAATTGAACTTTTCAATTTGGTTCAATTCATGATCGCTTACGAAAACCTTATCCAGTGGGCTCTAGCAGACTTCACCTTGAATCCCGTCTTAGTAGCTATATCATGTAAGGAGGACAATAGTTTAGTCATGAGATTTTTTACTTCCTCTTCAACTTCTCAACCTTTAAATGTTTATTTAAATATATTTACTTCAATTTTGTTTGTAAATATAAATTGGCTCGCTGCACCGCATTATATTGAATTATAAGAAGATTGGGTATATTTGTGTTTTATATACTCATTATTCATTAATCATTTAGTTTATATACTAATTGTTCTAAAACATTAGATAATAAGTTCATCATAAAGGCCAATGAAAAAAAAAAAGGCCAATGAACTAGCATTTTTTGCCTTTTTTGTAAAAGACTCTTTTGTAAGATTATTGATCGACCCAATAAAATCTCCACATCACTTGGGCCGAAAGGATAAAAAAATAAAAAAATAAAAAAAAGAGAAGAGGATAAGCATTAAATAATGTAACCATTAAGTCTACAAATGATGATTT